TTTTTTTTTTTTTTTGCTATGTAGTCTAGGCCAGCCTCGAACTTGTTATGTGGTCTAGCCTGGTCTCAAACTCACAATCCTCCTGCCTCAGCCTCCCAGAATGCTGGGATTACAGGTGTGCACCACCATGCCAGGCTGACCACCATTTAGTTTTGCTTATGAGTCTTTAGGTCAGCTGGGTAGTCTGGGAGGGATCACTCTTCCCAACGCTGCTGACCCAGGCCAGGTGAGGCAGATCTCGACTGGCTCCTGTGTCTGGTCAGCAGGTGGGGTGGCTGCCTGCTCACTGGCCCAGTTAGGATGGTGCGGCTGGGGCACTCGGCTCTTTTTCTTGTGGCTACTCATCCTCCAGCCGGTGAGCTTGCACTTGCTCATGCAGTGGTCTTAGGGCTCCGGGAATGTGGGCAGAAGTGTTCAAGGCCATTGCCTGGCGGAGTGTCATTGCTGCCTCACACTGTCAGCCGAAGCAAGTCTTAAGGCCAGTCCTGATGCAGGGTAGAGAAGTAGACTGATGTGCTGATGGGAGATGCTATAAAGCCACACTGATGGGGCATGGATATAAGCCCAGTATCAGCTTCCTCTGATATGCCTTCCCATAATGCCAAGCTGCCAAGCTGTGGCATGCTGGGACTTCAGAGGTGTGGCCATGGGGGGGCGGTCCAGGGGAGGGGAAACTGACCAAGTCAAGAAGTGAGTGGTGTTCTATCAATGCCCCATATGTGGAGGGGAGTGACCAGCTCAGGCTGGACCATCCACAGTCACATCCGGGCAGGTTCGTCTAGGGACTGGTCTGGCAGTAGGATCTCATGGAGGCTACTCTAGGGCATCTCAGCCTGAATACGATTGACATTTGGGGCCAGATAATTCTAGTGGTGGGGGCCGCCCTGTGCACTGTGGGTACTGGTAGCATCCCTGGCCTGTACCCTCTAGGTGCCAGAAGGAACCTTCCCTGTTTTTAACAACAAGTTCTATCTAATGTTCCCTGGCTTTGGAATCAGGAGGACCCAGGTTACCTCGGCTTGGCTTCCCTGACCTCTCCCCAGGCCTCAGCTTCCCCTCCCTCTGCTCGGCAAAGCCACCCTGTTTCTCCCGCAGCCCTGGTCTCCCTCCTGAACCCGTGTGCCAACATGAAGGTGTGTAATGAGGATCAGACCAACTGCACGGTGCCCACGTACCCCTCGTGCCGTGACAGCGACACCTTCAGCACCTTCCTGCTGGACCTCTTCAAGCTGACCATCGGCATGGGCGACCTGGAGATGCTGAGCAGCACCAAGTACCCTGTGGTCTTCATCACCTTGCTTGTCACCTACATCATCCTCACCTTCGTGCTCCTGCTCAACATGCTCATCGCCCTCATGGGGGAGACAGTGGGCCAGGTCTCCAAGGAGAGCAAGCACATCTGGAAGCTGCAGGTAAGGCCAGGACCCCAGTCCCTCCCCAGGCGGGGAGCTGGGGAGACGCCCCCGCCTTCCACTTGGGGTCCCGCAGCACCTCATTGTGCTTTCACGTCCCGTCTGTGAAATGGGCAGTCAAGGCTGCTGCCTACACCCAGGGCTGCTGGTACATTTTATGGGGGCTTCTGGCCCAGCTCGTGGGACCCGGTTGGCAGGAACCCACGCAGCAAGACCGAGTGATCTCTGTTGGCACAGCAGACACTTAGAGAGTATCTAAATCCATTTTCTGTTGCTACAACAAAATACTTGAGACTGGATAATTTACTAAGAATGGAAATTTATCTGGCCCATGAGCTGCGGCTGCAAGCCTGAGTGACGCTGCATCTGACAAGGGCCTCCTGTTGTGTCATAGCCTTGGAGAGGGCGTCCTGTGGAGGGACAGAGCGAGCGTGCTAACTCAGGCTCTCTTCCCCTTCTTAGCAAGCCACTAATCCCATCATGGGCCCCGTCCCGTCTGACCCTGGTCACCTTCCAAAGCTCCACCCCCGAGTGCTGCTAACTCATGACTTTGGGATTAAGTGTTCAGCACACGAGCTTCTTGGGACACATTTAAGCCATAGCAGAGAGCAATGAGCATTTCCACCAGGGATCCACGCGGAGCCCAGGACAGCTCCCATCCCTACTGTGACTCAGAAGTCACAGTATGGTATGGTGTGAGCCCCCAGCTCGGGGACCCGTGGGCCATGCAAGTGGAGCTTCCAGACTGTGCTACCCAAGCAAGCTTGGGCTCCGAGGAGCAGCCCATGCAGAGGCTGGCTTCCTAGGCACAGGGCAATGCTGCTTTCACTTCCCAGAAGGCCTCCTGGGCCAGGCATAGTTCTCAACCTGGGCGTTTACTGTACACGGTGCCACCATCTGACCTGGGAACCACAGAGCCCACGCTGACCTTGACTCAGTGCATTTCAAGAAAGTGGCGTAGCGTGAAAACCTGAGGTCATCTTCCTGGATCTGAATATGAGGGAAGTGACCTGGGTCTGCTCTTAAACTTTACCCATACTGCTGACTTCCCCTGGCCTCAGTTTCCCCACTGGGTATGTAACTCACGAGTTGCAAACTGGCAGCCTGTGGACTGGATCCATTCAATAAAGATTCAGTTTTTGCTTAGACCCATCCTATCTTTTAAAATTGTAATGCAAAGTTTAATAATTAGTTTCCATATAAAAGTCTAGAGGTGGCCTGCCTTGCAAGGGCAAGGACCTGAGTTCAATCCCCGGTACCAAAAAAAAAAAAAAAAA